AACGAACGAACGAACGAACGAACGAACGAACGAACGAACGAAACGAACGAACGAACGAACGAAGAACGAACGAACAACGACGAACGAAACGAACGAACGAACGAACGAACGAACGAACGAACGAACGAACGAAACGAACGAACGAACGAACGAACGAACGAACAACGAACGAACGAACGAACGAACGAAAAACGAACGAACGAACGAACGAAACGAACGAACGAACGAACGAACGAACGAAGAACGAAAAACGAACGAACGAACGAACGAACGAACGAACGAAACGAACGAACGAACGAACGAACGAACGAACGAACGAACGAACGAACGAACGAACGAACGAACGAACGAGAACGAACGAACGAACGAACGAACGAACGAACGAACGAACGAACGACGAACGAACGAACGAACGAACGAACGAACGAACGAACGAACGAACGAAAGAACGAACGAACGAACGAACGAACGAACGAACGAACGAAAACGAACGAACGAACGAACGAAACGAACGAGAACGAACGAACGAACGAACGAACGAACGAACGAACGAACGAACAAACGAACGAACGAACGAAACGAACGAACGAACGAACGAACGAACGAACGAAACGAACGAACGCGAACGAACGAACGAACTAACGAACGAACGAACGAACGAACAAACGAACAAACGAACGAACGAACGAACGAACGAACGAACGAACGAACGAACGAACGAAACGAACGAACGAACGAACGAACAACGAACGAACGAACAACGAAGAACGAACGAACGAACGAAACGAACGAAAACGAACGAACGAACGAAACAACACGAACTAACAAAAACTAACTAACTAAAACGAACTAACTAACTAACGAACTAACTAACTAACGAACTAATAACTAACGAAAACTAACTAACTAACTAACGAACTAAACTAACGAACTAACTAACTAACTAACTAACTAACTAACTAACTACTAACTAACTAACAACTAACGACGACGAACTAACTAACGAACGAACTAACTAACTAACTAACTACTAACTAACTAACTAACACTAACGAACTAACTAACTAACTAACTAACTAACACTAACTAACTAACTAACTAACTAACTAACTAACGAACTAACTAACTAACGAACTAACTAACTAACTAACAACTAACTAACTAACTAACTAAAACTAAATAACTAACAACTAACTAACTAACTATCTAACTAACTAACTAACTAACACTAACTAACCAACTTAATAACTGACTAACTAACTAACTAACCAACTTAATAACTGACTAACTAACTGACTAACTAAGAACAAATAAAACTATTACGAGCCTTCTTTTAAAGTTCTATTAAATATTTAATTACTTTTAAAAATATCACTAACAATAAATGATAAAAAAATTTAAAACTTATTGTATATACCTATCAACATAAAACATATTAATTAATATTTCGTGTCATACATCAAGCAGCTATTACTATTTACACAATTATATGAGTTCAAGGTTTTTATTTATCCATCTAATAATATTTCTAGTTAAGCTTTAAATTTAAATGGAGAAGAAGAACAAAAAAACATATACGACGTACAATCACCCTGCTTGCGCTTACAGGTTTCCAAAAACCCAAAAAGATGTGAAAAAGAGCAAAATATTAGTGTGAGGGTTGTTTAGTTAGTAAATGTTTATTGTAGTAGTTGTAGTTTTGTTGCAGGCAGACCAGGGGTTACATCTGTACATTTACTAACGTATGTTTGTACATTCGTGTGTATATTATTTTACTCACTTATTTAGTTAAAAGTAACCCCCAACCTCAACCCCCATACGACGACAACATCATGATTGAGCTTTAAATTTTATACTCGTCGTATTTATATTAGTGTAATAAAATTCTATGTTGTGTGTTGGAGAAAATATTATAGGATTTTTATAGAAAAATTGCTAATTGCAGTTGGAAACAAGGAAATGTCAACTACGCATAAGCATAGAGACAAAGAGAACAAATAAGGGAGATAAATGTTTTCTGTGTGTGTTTTATGTTTCTTCTTGTTTTTTTCTATATTTTTGTAATAATAATGAATATAGTGGAATTGTATAACATGTGAATTGTAAAAGAAATTGATGTAAATGAAAAGAAGCAGAGAAGGAGGTGAGTGAACACATGTTCAAATAGTAGATGATTTAGGGAATTTAGAAGAAAGGCAAATATAAAGGAATAAAAACTTTATGTCGAACATTTTTTACATAAAAGACACATTTTTTTTCATTTGAAGGATAATGTACCTTGAATTTATGTAAATGATTTTTAACATTTTTATGTTTGAACTTTTAATAGAAATATGAACTGAAAAATATCCTGCATATAAAATGATCTCTTGTAAATCTGTCAGTATTCTTAGAATTAGTTATGTTTTCACCAAAAACTCAAGTCAAGTTTAATCGTTATTTAAAAACTAAACAATCATTAAAAAAATAGAAAAAACTCTTACCTTATGACTGGTAATACGTCCAAATGGTTCAAACATTTCACGCATATGTTGTTCCGAGAAATCCTCATTGAAATTCTTCACATACAAATTCCTAAATTGAGTAGCCTTCTCCTGTTCTCGATCGCGTCGTGGTATATACTTGACAACATGAACCTTTTGATTGTTACACAACATACCATTCACCTTTTCGATGGCCACGCGTGCAGCATCCTCGGTATCAAAATGTACGAAACCATAACCACGTGAATTTCCATGTTCATCCTTGGCCACATTACAATTGAGTATGTTGCCGAATACCGAAAAGGTATCGTACATGGCCTTGTTATCAATTGACCGTTCTAGATTCTTAATATAGATCTTACCGCCATCGGGAGAATTGGTGCTCGAAGCACTGCCCGAAGAAGTGCTGCCCGCCGAAAGGTGAGGAGAAATGGAAGTAATGTTACCAGTGCCCAGACCCATGGGAGCATGAGGAGTACGATTAAGATGACTGCCAGCTAAATGATGATTGTTATTGCCGGCTGCACCATGATGGCCCGTATGAGCGGTCAAATGATGACCCAGTGGTCCAGCTCCGCCAGTATGTGCTGCAGCATGATGAAGCTGAGCTGCCTGTTGGCCAGCGTGATGAGCGGCAGCCAGAGGATGTCCAGCAGCAGCCGCTAAAGAGGCGTGATGATTTAGAGCCGATTGCTGTTGATGGTAATGATGGCTGGCAGCCGCCGGATTGCCACGGAACGTCATTGAATTGACAAACATAATCGGCAGATTTCGGTTGTTGTGGTGGTGGTGTGTGCTATTTGAACGCGTTAATTTATTTATATTATGATTCGGATGAAGTTTATTGATATAAATTGAATTGTTATTTAAGCCGAGAATTTTGACGGTTTTTATTTTTAAATAATGACAAAAATTGAAAATGTATTTTAACTTTTATTTTTGTTTTTTCTTAGCTGGTTAGTGTATAAAAAAAATGAAAATCCACCTGTATTTGTTTGCTGCACTTTTCTGCTTTTTTATTTTCTTTCGATACGTTTCCTGTTTGGAAGCAAAAAAACTAAAATATATTTTGTCTTCTCTTAATTTCTCTTTGCTATTTCTCTTCAAGTTTTCAGGCTACTCTCTTGCTTGTATTTTTTCCCAATTATCACACAAAATTGGCTTTCACTTTTTTCTTCTTGATTACTTTTTGCAATGTATAAATTTTATATTTTTCTGCTTTTATTTTAAGTTATTGTATTAATTTTATTATAAAACTAATATATATTTGTTATATTATAGATTAATATAAAATATTAACTAATTTGTGATTTTTTTTATAAATTTTTTACACAAAAATTACAAGCGCAGCTAAAAAGTGCAGCAGACGAAAAAATTCTTTTTTTTTTGTTATCCTTTATCTGCTTTGTTTCTCTGTTCCAATAAAAAGATGCCACAATATGTAAGAATATCAATGAAGTATGGCAACATTACAGAAAATATATGAAAATGTATTAAAAAATAATTTTCATAACCCGGCAGTTACACGATGAATAAAAATGTCACACAAATCGTATCTTTGATATTTTTCTAGAAAAAAAAGTTTTTCAAATAAATGTCGAAAATTCGATACAAATAATTATTCAAATCTGACTATTTTGCTAAAAGCATTAGTTATTGTTACAAACTTAATTGATGCTATATATGAAAAGTGTCCTTTTTCCAACTTATCGACATTAATTTATAAAGTCCTTATTCCTAAAAGATACTTGACTTACCCACTTTTTTGAACAAAATAATCGAATTAGGATTATATAATTGAAAAGTAGACTTTCCGACTTTCATAAATTTTTTTATTTACAAAATAGATTTATCGACTTTTTTCCTACATGATGTGATTGTTCGTTTTTTTCGTCAAAAAGTCGATTGAAGGAAAAATAACACAACAATATGGCAACATTGCAAAAAAAGTTGTAACTGTCAACGCCGTAGAACTTTATTGGTCAAGTTTAAATAAAACGATTTTAAACTTAAAATTCTTGACTTTATTCCAATTAGTAACAGAATTCAACAATTTTCCTATTATTTAAATTATTATATTATTATTAACTTTTAGTTTTACTTAAAATTGTAATCAAAATTTTTACCAAAATAATAAAAATCAATGCTAATTTAAAGTTAAATTGCCGGTTTTCACGGTAGTTACACGATCAAGCGCATTTCAAGTTTAACTTTTTCACTAATACACTCATAATTTTTAAAGTTAAAACAAGCTTTATTTACAATTTTACTTGAAAATAATCAGTAGTTTCTTAATATAAAAGGTTTGTTACACCTCTAAAAAACTTATTATGAAAACATTTGTTCTATTCCACAAATGTCCTATTTATTTTGATTAAATCTCAGTCCGTTTCATAGGTCTACTTCATGGATAAATATGAATGGCAATACTACTGATATATTTTGCTGTTGGCAACATCATTGAGTTTTCTAAAATTTCTTCGCTTTGAGCGAATTGAATTCGCTTGTTATCTTATTTTGTTTACTATTAATAATAATAAAAATAGTATTTATTAAATAATTATTTTTAATTTAAGTGAAATATGTTGGAAGATTCTATAACGTCTAGTCCCTCCAAATCAAATAAATCTATACACGAAAGAAGACTAATAAGAAAAAACAAAAGAAAAAAAGCGGATGAAGTTTTGCCAAATAAAAGTGATCATCGTTTGCATAGTACTAATCGCCATATGACCATTTATGACTTTTACAAAGATTATGAAGAAGATTCAACAGATAGCGAATGTAAAGATTTCACATTTATGGTTGCAAAGCCATCGGCAATAATAAAAGACTATAAACCATTTGAAAAAGAAAAAGCTTTGGCCATGGCTGATCATATTTCTATGCATCAGAAAATCAATGAAAATAAAACTAATATTTGGCCGGAAACTCAAGGATTTTTAACGTGTTTAAATTTAACGCAATTGGAAAAAGAAAAACCCAAAGATTTTAGTGAAAATAATAAATCAAACACATCCTTTAGTATAACAGAATCTGAATTGATTAGCTGCTGTAATAATGCAGAAAAATCACTGGAAAATGACACCGAAAATATCACAATACAAGATTTAACACCTAAGAAACAAGATGATATGTTTTTGGTGAATTCCATACTGGAAGATTTCTCGCTATCACCCTTAAAAGAAGGCCAAATAATAGCGAATACCTCTTACCAGCATACACCGGAATTCCGTTTGCGCAGAATACCAACAAAAACCTACAGCAGTCGTAAATTTATAAATACCACCAAAACAAATCTTAACACACGATTTGAAGAATTAGCTACCGCAGACTCAGAAGACGATGACCATAGTAATTGTTCGTCATTATCTGTAGAAGAAGATGTTGCAATGGCAGAATTGTTAAACAATCAACGACAGACTACGACAAACACAAGTAATACACAACATTTATTAGAAAATCTTTTAAATTTAAGCGTATATTTTGCACAAAATAGTCAAACGCAAAATAATTTATCAGATGAAAGTCGTTTTGATTTGAATGCTTCATGTTTGATCGATAATGATCAAGAAAATCGTTTGTTTTTCAATAGTATACCCGATCTTCTTAAAGATATTCTTACTTTACGTTCCAATAATAACAAACGTTATGATTCATTTAATTCTTTAGAAGATTTTCATGGATTTCCAAGTAATAATGAGCTGGAGAGTGATGTTATCGATATAGATAATACTGAATTGGATATCATGCAAACAACTTTACGACATGATTTAAGTGCAGTTGATACTTCAGTAATGGATACATCTTTTAATGCAGAAGGTAATTTATTATATTTCTTTTAATTCCGAGGATTTATATAGGTAGATAGATAGATAGATAGATAGATAGATAGATAGATAGATAGATAGATAGATAGATAGATAGATAGATAGATAGATAGATAGATAGATAGATAGATAGATAGATAGATAGATAGATAGATAGATAGATAGATAGATAGATAGATAGATAGATAGATAGATAGATAGATAGATAGATAGATAGATAGATAGATAGATAGATAGATAGATAGATAGATAGATAGATAGATAGATAGATAGATATATAGATAGATAGATAGATAGATAGATAGATAGATAGATAGATAGATAGATAGATAGATAGATAGATAGATAGATAGATAGATAGATAGATAGATAGATAGATAGATAGATAGATAGATAGATACATAGATACATAGATACATAGATACATAGATACATAGATAGATAGATAGATAGATAGATAGATATATAGATAGATAGATAGATAGATAGATAGATAGATAGATAGATAGATAGATAGATAGATAGATAGATAGATAGATAGATAGATAGATAGATAGATAGATACTTAAATGCTCTTTCTTTCTTCCTATTTTAGAAGTCTTTGATGATGATTGTCAAGATGTATTGGCGGGTGTTAATACTGAAGCTATTTTACAACAAGAAAATCTTGAAACCCCAAACAATAGGAAAGAAACTGTTGAAGAATTTACCATTCCTCTAGTGCCAAAGGATATAGAGAAACCTGTCGAAAATGAAAGTTTAAACCATGAACCTCAGAATTCCATTGGTTTTAAAACAGCCTCATCAAAACCAATCAAAGTGTCTAGAGAAGCCCATATAATGGCAGCTAAAATATTAAGTAAACTTCCTGAAATACCACAAATAAATTTCGAACTTACAAACTGTGATACTAAAGCTTTAAACAGAGGTAACTTTAAAGAAAATTATGAATTTTTATTAAAAATAAAAATGTTTTTTATTTAATACTTAAAGATGTAAATATTTTTGAAAATCCCGAAAACTATGAGTGGAATGATGACTGTGATTTATTTTTAAATATTCAAACACCTACTGCCTTAAATGAGCCGCAACAACAACAACAAATAAATACAAATGAACTGCAGCATAAACCTGCTGCAACGAATATAGCCTCTTTAGGATTTAAAACTGCTGGTGGCAAAAATGTTCATGTGTCCAGAAAAGCTCAAGAATCTGTACAAAATCTTTTAAAAGAATTTACGAGCAATGTTACCCAGGATCACTTTGATTGCGAAGAGGAATTAAAAGAATTGAAATGTAAAGTATATGCAAAATCTCATAATTTTGAATGCAAACAATCATCTTTAAGTAATGCGGAAGCGATTAGGAGAACAAAAGATATGCAGGATTTTGAGAAAGAACAAGTTTTTCCTAGTACCTCGAAAATGGCCTCAATAGGATTTCAAACAGCTGGTGGTAAAAATGTACATATTTCTAAAAAAGCTCAAGAATCTGTACAAAATCTTTTAAAAGAATTCACGAGCAATGTTAGCCAGGATCACTTCGATTGCGAAGAGGAATTAAAAGAACTCAAAAGTAAAGTATATGCAAAAACTCATAATTTTGATCACAAAAAATCATCTGTAAGCAATGTTGAAGCAAGAAAGAGTACAAATGAGTTGCAGGGTTTTGAAAAGGAGCAAGCTTTTCCTAGTACCTCGAAAATGGCCTCAGTAGGATTTCAAACAGCTGGTGGTAAAATTGTACATGTTTCTAAAAAAGCTCAAGAATCAGTACAAAAACTTTTAAAAGAATTTACAAGCAGTGATCCACAGGATAATTTCAACTACGAAGAACAATTAAAAGAAATTAAAAGTAAAGTTTATGCAAAAACTCATAATTTTGAATCTAAGGAATCCGCTTTCAAAAATACCAAAGATAATGATCATAAAATTTCCTTGCAAACTCAAGAAAATGCTGAAAAGATGTTAAATGAAATTTGTATGGAAGCTGAAGAGAATTTCGAAAATAATAGAAATCTTCACACAGAATACAAAGAAAACTTAAGTGAAGGTCCTTTGGCGAAACAATTTGAAACTGAAATTATGAAAAATATTGGATTTCAGACAGCTAAAGGCAAACAAATTACAGTTTCAGCTAAGGCACAAAAAACTGTTGAAAAACTTTTACAAGATTTTAATACAGATTTAGATATAGAAAAATATGAATATGATTTAATAGAAATGAAAAGTAAAATGCAAATTAATAACAAGGAACTACAGCACAATAATGGCCAGTCAAAATCTAGTCAAACAAATGCCAATGAAGATTCTACAATTTCTAAAAATCTTACACCTAAACCAAACAAACGAAAAAATTCGATAGACAATAGTGTTACAGCAACACCAGGATGTAGTTCCACGCCCCCGGCTAAAATATTAAACAAAGATTTACATAACTTAAAATCATCATCACCCCGATCACCTCAAACGGTAATATCGAGAAAAAATCTTTTATCTTTATCAAAAAGACATAGAAATAAAAGAAACTCTTTAACCATGAAAAGAGAAGAAATTCCTAAACTTTATAAAGAAAAATACGATTTAAATGTGAATGCCTCAACTCCTATTAAAACATCAGTTTCCTTAGCTATTAATGCACACACACCAGCTACACCAAATTTAAAAGAATTCATTTCAAATGCAGCCTTAACATCAACACCTCGTATTAACATTACAACAGAGTCACCACAAACCATTAAAGATACCGATTTTAAACCTATCAACTGGAAAGATAATCAATCTATTACAAATAAATCTGCTAATAATTCCACTGCTCATACCACCAAACTTTCCGAAACCTCATCATTGAATATTACCTTAAATTCTTCAAATCCTACAGCCCAGGAACGTATAGGTCGTTTAAAAATGTACGGTAAACCGCCGGCCGTTTCACCTATACTTATAGAAACTCATCATAGCTGTCGTCCCTCAGGCTTAAGACGTACTCGTAGCATGCTTAAGAAAACGGAAAAATAGTATTTCTTAGTTTTTAAATAATTTTCTAAATGTATCACTATTGTAGTACAATATCTATGTATACCTCCCTTTAATATAAAAAGTCTATACTATATTTATTTATTTTATATATAAATACAAAGTACCTATCATTTGTGTACACGTTCTTCTTTACTATTTGTATTTTCATTTCATTTCATTTTGTTTTTTTTTCTATTTCTGTTTTGTCTACTTGTTTTGTTTAATCTTTGAATTTAATTTAATTAACTTCATGTTTTTGTTTACGAAGTTTTGCAATTCAGTCACTAAACAGTTGGTTTCAATAACAAACACACTTCTCTAGATAACTTTTTTAATCAGAAAATATTTTTTTAAATAATAAACGGTAAGTTTTGTTAATATATTTGGACTATTTTTCAAAATTTTTAGAAAATGTTTAATATATTTTCAAATAAAACCTACGAAACTAAATTAAAAAGTAATTTTCTAAGTTATGCAAAAACTTCCCAGCAAAAAAAGAACTTCCAAAGAAGCTAATAGGAAGTAGAATTTACTCCATAGAAGTACTGAAAAACACCTGAAGAAGTGATGATTTTTACACAGGCTTTTCATAGGAGTGATGTCCTTTTTATTTGATTCCAAATTCACTACTTTTGAAGTCATTTTCATTGTAGTATTATTGAATACAACTAATTTGACCCAAATAATATTAACATTGATAAGGGTAATATACACATTTAATACAAAAGTCCAAAAATAAAATGTTTATCTCATAAAAATGGAAGAACAAAAAATATATCTTCAACATTGAAAAAATAGAATTATTTTCGCATCTTCGGAAGTCTTTAAACATCACTTTATCAGAAGGTTAAAAAATTCACTTAGTGCTACTTTTAAAGTGGTGATAAATGTTATTCTTTTGGAAGTACTTCGTTTTATTTTTGCTGGGTTATTATTATTTAGAAGAGTAGTAGAATAATATGTATAATTTTATATAACTTAATTATGTAATTAAAAAAAAATATATACACTTTAATGAAGAAGTAATTATTATTTTTTTAAATGAAGTTTTTGCTTCGAGTTATATAACCTTACAAGTTAAGGCACATCCGTGCTATTGGCCCATGATTTAACCAAAGGTTTTCGTTTCTAAATATCCTTAACTTTTACTGCAATTGGTACGGATAGATTGCTAGATAGATAGATAGATAGATAGATAGATAGATAGATAGATGGATAGATAGATAGATATAGATAGATCGATAGATAGATAGATGATGATAGATGATAGCTCGCTAGTAGCTAGATAGAAGATAGATAGATAGATAGATAGCTAGATAGATAGATCGATATATAGATAGATCGATAGATAGATCGATCGCTCGCTCGATGCTCGCTCGCTCTCTCGCTCGTCGCTCGCTGCTCGCTCGCTCGCTCGCTCGCTCGCTCGCTCGCTCGCTCGCTCGCTCGCTCTCGCTCGCTGCTGCTCGCTCGCTCGCTCGCTCGCTCGCTCGCTCCTGCTCGCTCGCTCGCTCGCTGCTCGCTCTCTGCTCGCTCGCTCGCTCGCTCGCTCGCTCGCTCGCTCGCTCGCTCGCTCGCTCGCTCGCTCGCTCGCTTGCTCGCTCGCTCGCTCGCTCGCTGCTCGCTCGCTCGCTCGCTCGCTCGCTCGCTCGCTCGCTCGCTCGCTCGCTCGCTCGCTCGCTGTCTCCTCGCTCCCTCGCTCCCTCGCTCGCTCGCTCGCTCGCTCGCTCGCTCGCTCGCTCTCGCTCGCTCGCTCGCTCGCTCGCTGTCTCCTCGGTAGATAGATAGAAAGATGTCTGCAACCTAGTCGGAATGGGTTCTAAAAAAAGTCCGTATTTTGAGCTTACTACAATCTATTATTTACAATCTATATTTTTTGGAATCGAGGAAAAGCAGTCGACTTTGAATTTTTAAAATATGTACATACATGTTGTCTATAAAAGTTGATTGTATGAAATTGTAAAAAATTGCTGTACATTTTAACGGTTCGGCACAAAACAGATTAATTTAATACAACTCTGTGTTTCATTGTATTTCCGTTTCAATTGTCAATGTATGTCACTCTTGCTCTCTCACTGTTTTCTTTTTTTTTCATTCATGTTGTATTGCAGAGAATTTAATAGGGATGCCAACACTACACTTAAGTTGTTACGTCCATAAATAAATAAAACCGAAATTATTTACTTTTTTTTCAAATTTAACAAATTGTGTGTTTGTTTAAATAATTTTAAAACTTTAATATACAATTAAAAATCTTTCTATATTATATCAAAACAATAAAAACTATAACTTAAGATTGTGTTTGTTATTTTACAACATTTTAAGAAATCCGTATTTGTTTTGCGTAAACTAAATATTGGCAACCCTAAGCAATACCAGCTCTACGATTTTTTACTTGCAAGTTGCAACTTTTTTAGTTTATTGTGGAATATTGTTTTTGTATCATCGTTTGTCGATATTTGTTGTGTTTAAAGAAGAAAATTAGTGCATCTATTAGGTTCAATAATCTTCAAAACTTAAATGCAATATTCCACATGGAAAATTTAATGTGATATTTTAAAAAAAGTGAATTTAAATTTTGACAACAAATCAAATTTTAATAATAAAATCCAATTGGAAAAGATTCAACCTTTAAAGTGTAGTTAAACTTTACAAAAAAAAAAGACAAAACAGAAAAAAAATCACTAATAGTCGACAAAAAGTATAATATAATAAAAGAAAACTATAAAAGGTAAAAAGGGGGAGTGGAAATGGTGCATATATGTATAAAAATAAATAAAACTTGTTTTAAACTCATTCAATAGAAAAGATAGGAGAATTAATAATGAAAGAGAGAGATGGACTTTAATTGCGATTTCTTCTATTTGTATTAAGTGTAAATTACAACAACAAATATAAAAACCAATGCAATTTTTAACTTTCTAAAGTATTGCTTTGTTGGCATATTTTATTTACAAACTATTTTCGTATACAAATTTGTGTATTTTGTTATTATTACATAATTTCATTATTTATGTGACATCTTTCTCATCTTTGTTTTTATTTTTCTGTTGTTATTGCTGTTATTAGGTTTGTATTTTTCTTGCAGTTTAATATATGAGGATGGATGGTGGTGTTTTAATATTGATGACATACATATGTACATATTTACTATATAAAATTTATATAGTAAATAATATTATATTATAAATACATATTTCTCAATTGCTAATCTTTTTTTTCGTATACAGAAACAATATTTAATACGTGTTTACATTTCATGACATTTCACCTACGCATTTAACTTTGTTTGCATTAGCTTAACTGTTTTTGTACCCTACATCACTGTAGAGCATGTTTGTGATAAAGTTTAAAATCATTCATTGTCCTTATTAGTCATCGAAAAGTCGATTATTCTTTCCGAAAATAGTCTATTTATTATCTTGTAAGAAAATAGTTGCACAGACGTACAAAAGTGTAGGAACTTCTCTAAAGGATTGAGATTTCGAACCTGTTCGCAGTATTTATCCATCACATCAGGTTTTTGCCATCTCATAAAATTTGAAAAACCCCGTTTTATCATATTTGAGACGTTATTTATGATAGCACTTAGACTCCTTTATTTAAAATATTATGCTCCGATTCGACATACGGAGTAAACCCCACTGATATTAGCCTAGATTCGCAGCTCAATTCTATCTATCTATCTATCTATCTATCTATCTATCTATCTATCTATCTATCTATCTATCTATCTATCTATCTATCTATCTATCTATCTATCTATCTATCTATCTATCTATCTATCTATCTATCTATCTATCAATCTATCAATCTATCAATTTATCAATTTATCAATCTATCTATCTATCTATCTATCTATCTATCTATCTATCTATCTATCTATCTATCTATCTATCTATCTATCTATCTATCTATCTATCTATCTATCTATCTATCTATCTATCTATCTATCTATCTATCTACTATCTATCTATCTATCTATCTATCTATCTATCTATCTATCTATCTATCTATCTATCTATCTATCTAGCTATCTATCTATCTAGCTATCTATCTACTATCTATCTATCATCTATCTATCTATCTATCTATCTATCTATCTATCTATCTATCTATCTATCTATCTACTATCTATCTATCTATCTATCTATCTATCTATCTATCTATCTATCTATCTATCTATCTATCTATCTATCTATCTATCTATCTATCTATCTATCTATCTATCTATCTATCTATCTATCTATCTATCTTCTATCTATCTTATCTATCTATCTATCACTATCTATCTATCTATCTATCTATCTATCTATCTATCTATCGATCTATCTATATCTATCTATCTATCTATCTTATCTATCTATCTATCGATTTACTATCTATCTATCTATCTATCTATCTATCTATCTATCTATCTATCTATCTTCTATCTATCTCTCTATTCTACTATCTATCTATCTATCTATCTATCTATCTATCTATCTATCTATCTATCTACTAGCGATCTATATATCTATTATATATCTATCTATATATATCTATCTATCTATCTATCTATCTATCTATCTATCTATCTATCTATCTATCTATCTATCTATCTATCTATCTATCTATCTATCTATCTATCTATCTATCTATCTATCTATCTATCTATCTATCTATCTATCTATCTATCTATCTATCTATGTAATCTATCGTTCTATCTATCTATCTATCTATCTATCTATCTATCTATCTATCTATCTATCTACTATCTATCTATCTATTCTATCTATCTATCTATCTATCTATCTATCTATCTATCTATCTATCTATCTATGTATCTATCTTTCTATCTATCTATCTATCTATCTATCTATCTATCTTATCTATCTATCTATCTATCGATCTATCTATCTATTTATCTATCTATCTATCTTATCTATCTATCTAATCTATCTATCTATCTATCTATCTATCTATCTATCTATCTATCTATCTATCTATCTATCGATCTATCTATCTATCTATCTATCTATCTATCTATCTATCTATCTATCTATCTATCTATCTATCTATCTATCTATCTATCTATCTATCTATCTGATCTATCTATCTATCTATCTATCTCTCTATCTATCTATCCTATCTATCTATCTACTATCTATCTATCTATCGATCTATCTATCTATCTATCTATCTATCTACTATCTATCTATCTATCTATCTATCTATCTATCTATCTATCGATCTATCTATCTATCTATCTATCTATCTATCTAGGTCGAATTCTGCAATCTCCTCTTATTACCTCAAAAAGATTGCAAAATATTTAGGGTTTTGAACTTTCTCATAGAGAATTATTATCTTTCAATTTTGTTTCAGATAAAGCCCGAATATAAATTCATAAACCTAAAAAATACAATTTTGATTAAATTGTTAAATATTATACAAATTGTATGTATGTGTTTATATTGATGTTTTGTTATTTAAGCCCAGCTTTATGATTAGGTCATATTTTCATTTTGTTTCTTTTTTTTATTTATATATTTACACTTAGTTTTTGCAAATGTAGCAAAGCGTAAAATTTTATATTTTGTATTTGTTCAAGTTTAATATATGTATATTATAATTGTTTATAAATTTTATGATAAGAAATTTAAAATACATACAGAAATTGTGGTTGAATTTAAAAAATACACTTTTTAACTACTAATAATGGAATTTAACTATAAGTGTTAAACATTCAATTGAGAACGTAGCTGTATTTATTGTAATTTAGAATTTGTGATAAATTTTGAAAAAAAAAACTAAACTTTGAATTATAAAGTATTCCGATATTAAGAGATTTCACTGTATTTTGTGATAAACTTGAAGAAAAACTAACGCCTATTTTTATACAAAAAATATATTTAAAATTTTAGTTTGTTTATATTTAATAAGAAGTACAAGTGCAAGTATTTAGTTCTAAAAAAAAATTGCCACGTATATCTTTTAAAATTGTACGTTTATAAAGATAAAGTAATCAGTAGGTGGTTTGTATTTTTTCAGTCTTATCGTAAATGCAATAAAACCTTAAAGTTACAAGTTGTAATTGCTAGAACATCAATATTTAATTTGGTTGTACCTATAGGTTGTTTAGATTTCTCTAAATGTTTGCTAAAAAAGAAATATACAAAATTTCTAATTGCAAATTAGTTTAAAAAAAGGTTTGTTGTTATTGTAAAAGTTCGAATGTGTCCGAAGTTCTTTCCAGGAGAATAAACTTTCGGTTGATACAGCTGTCGCTGGGTTAACAATCCTTGGCCAAGTAAGACTCGCTTCGTTCCGGAGCGAAGATCCAATTTTCGATATAAACATATGTTTGTGATTCCATTTGGTGTTTGAATCCTTATAGATGAGTCCTGTATGTCTACCCGTATGTTTTTCCAGAATTTAGAATATATTTAGATATGTAAAAGAATACATAGACAATATGTATATCAAAAGTAAGATATTTGTAATACATTTCATTTGATATACATAATGACCAGGAAAAACGTAGGTTTTTCTTGATTATATTCATATCTTAACCATTTAGGACCAGCATTTTGACAAAAAATTATTAATTAATTATTTTAAATAACGAAATTGTTTTAAATTTATTGCTCTTTTTCAGTACTGTAAGTTACATCACAAATAGAAGCAACTTTAAAAGTTCTATTCAAAATGGGTGATGAATTCGATGGTTGCGAATGTGTTTGGTCTCACGAACTGGCCATGCAAAGGCTATTGAATTTTGTAAGTTGTTATAATAATAAAATGTCGATTTTAAAATTTTCAATTATTTGATGAACTTCTCAAACACAGATACGTCAAAATCAAAACGAATGTACGGATACACACTGTATAGATGGTAAGTTGTAATAAAAAAAAATCTCTCCTAGTTTCAAAATTATTTAAAGTTTTTTTTTGTAATTTTACATATTTTTCTACAGTTACAGGTCGTTTAACACAACCGGCACCTGCAACAACAGGTGGTGAAGATAATAACTTCACTATGATGACAATGATTATGATTTTTGCCTTGATTATGTATTTAATAAGACCCGAATCAATTATGAAATTGACCAATACTAAACGTCGTGGTGGCCAGGGTCCTAGTGATGGTGGCAATGGTGGTTTCTCATCAACAGCAACCACCACCACCTTCACCGCCGGCGGTGAATTGAATTTGTTCTTTACTTTTATCAGTAATTCCTAAAAAGTAAAACATTTAATTTTTTTATATATACATACAATTATTAATTAATATTGGTACTAACTTTATAAATACAAATTAACAGATTTATATAATCAACTATATAATTTTGTAGGATGTATTATTTTTTTTAATTTATATAATATTTTTTTGGTTTAACTAAAATTGGTTTATAGATGAGAAACAAAAACTTCACAAAATTTTTAAAATATAATAAATATGTATTTGCAAATAAAAAAAGGTTGGATTTTGTTTATGTTTTTTTGTGGAATAGAAATATTATTTAAATCCAATAGATTAGCATAGTCTTAACTTAAACCATAATGGAATCTCTATCCTCAACGATGAAGATTTTAATTACCTGTTTTGTAATCACTGCTTTTACTTACACTTTCTCTAGTAAATTTATCCTTCTCTCTATAATCTAAAGTATAGTCTGTAGTCTAGTCTATAGTCTAGTCTGTAGTTTAGTCTATTGTTTAGTCTATAGTTTAGGCTATAGTTTAGGCTATAGTCTACTCTATAGTCTAGTCTATAGTCTACTCTATAGTCTAGTCTATTGTCTAGTCTATAGTCTAGTCTATAGTCTAGTCTATAGTCTAGTCTATAGTCTAGTATATAGTCTAGTCTATAGTCTAGTCTATAGTCTAGTATATAGTCTAGTCTATAGTCTAGTCTATAGTCTAGTCTATAGTTTAGTCTATAGTTTAGGTTATAGTTTAGGCTATAGTCTAGTCTATAGCGTAGTCTATAGTCTAGTCTATAGTCTAGTCTATAGTCTAGTCTATAGTCTAGTCTATAGTCTAGTCTATAGTCTAGGCTATAGTCTAGTCTATAGTCTATTATATAGTTTAGTCTATAGTTTAGTCTATAGTTTAGGCAATAGTTTAGTCTATAGTTTAGGCTATAGTCTAGTCTATAGTCTAGTCTGTAGTCTGGTTTGTAGTCTAGTCTATAGTCTAGTCTGTAGTCTAGTCTATAGTACAGTCTGTAGTGTAGTCTATAGTCTAGTCTGTAGTCTAGTCAATAGTATAGTCTAGTCTATATAGCCTAGTGTATAGTCAAGTCTATAGTCCAGTATATAGTCTAGTATATAGTCTAGTCTATAGTCTAGTCTTTAGTCTAGTCTATAATCTACTCTATAGTTTAGTCTATAATCTCTATAGTCTAGTCCATAGTGTAGTCTGCAGTCTAGTTCATAGTCTAGTCTATAGTCTAGTCTTAATCTAGTCTATAGTCTAATCTATAGTCTAGTATATAGTTTAGTCTATAGTCTAGTCTATAGTATAGTCTGTAGTCTAGTTCATAGTCTTATCTATAGTCTAGTGTATAGTCTAGTCAATAGTCTAGTATATAATCTATAGTCTAGTCTATAGTTTAGTTTATAGTCTAGTCTATAATCTAGTATTGAGTATAGTCTATAATCTAGTCTATAGTCTAGTCTATATTATAGACTAGACTATAGACTATAATCTAGTCTATAGTCAATTCTATAGTTTAGTATATAGTCTAGTCTATAGTCTAGTATATAGTGTAGTTAGTCTATAGTGTAGTCTATAGTCTAGTTCATAGTCTTGTCTATAGTCTAGTGTATAGACTAGACTATAGTCAAGTATATAGTCTAATCTAATGTCATGTCTATTCTATAGTCTATGCCACAATCTAGTCTATACTCTATGCTATTTTATAGTCCTAATCTATAGTCTAGTGATAAATAATTGTTCGTCTGTGCTATTAAAAGTTATTAAAATAGTTATTTTTTTATTTAACAAAAATTTAACTTCATTTACTTAAAGAGCGTCCCCAACTCAGTTTAAATAGTTTGAATTTTATACTAAAACATTCTTAAAGTAAACGAGAACCATGAATACGTTTATTTAGATGAAACGAGTTTTTATGCAAAATCTATTAAAATTTAAAATAAAAATGTATATTATTAAATAAGTGTAAAGATAAAATCTAATGGTTATTATAAATCTATGTCTAATTTCGTTTTTTTCTCTTTAAAATATCCTTTCATATATACAAATTCTTCACCAGGTTCCTTTGTATAGATGCATTGATATATGTATGTATTTGATTATTAAATGCTTTCTTTCCCTTTTATTATCATTCCTCGCTATGTAATTTACTTACACACGTGCGTACTTTTTTAAGAACTTGTTTCATTTGTTCATATTTGCCAGTAGAATCGGGTAAATTTTCAAAATTTATAACATCACTAACGCCAACTTTAAAGTTTTCACCATTTGGTAAATTATCATAGGGGGAAAATTTCAAAACGGGTGTACCCTCATAGGACTCCTTAATGACTGTAGTTTGGCCAGCAGTTTTTATATTCTCTTCTTTTGGTGTTGATTCCGAGGAATTGTCGGATTTTGTTTGTAAGTTTGGCTTGTCGTGCGTTCGTTTATCATCTTCTTCATCTAATTCGATGATTTCATCGATTAGGGAATCTTCTATTTCAATGACACTGGTATTGGAGTTTAATTCTTTTAATAGCTGTTGTTTTTTCTTTTCCAATTCTATTAACGATACGTCATTCTCTTTGCAATCACTTTCAATTGTTGGAGATTCTGGTGGTGGTGGTGGCGGCGGAGGCGGTGAGACTGAGGGTGGATTTTCAGCTGGTTGTGGTGGTCTAGAAAATTGTACTTCACCTAATGTTGTTTTTTTCAGGATCTTCAATTTCCATATCGCAGGCTTCTTGTACTGAAGTTTCAGTTATATAATCGTCCGCAGAGGCATTTGGAAAATCTTTAAGTTTTTTTACGTTTATAACCTTTTAAGACATGGTCGCCCATTGTCTTAACAAATTCATCTTTCATTTGACTTTTGCTTAAAGGAGGAACATTGTGATATTTGTAGTCCTATCAGGAAAGAAAAATAATTTGTTAAATGATGTATTTATAGAAATTTCGTAAGTGTAAATTGTACATTTTCACAACAAAACAAATTTCTCAATAAAACTTACATCGAAAAGTTTTCCCCAGGATCTTGATTAAAACCAGGAAATCATAAATTTTTGATATGTTATATTTATGATTAACGGCATCCACTTCACCCTCATCTTCGTCTGAATGTAAAATTTTGGTACCCTTAGCAAAGAAATTGAAAATCTCATCAAATAATTATAGAAAGAAGCTAACAAATGATTACTTACATCCGAATTAAACAGATTTATACCGGAATGTTCTACTTTAGCTTCTTCCAGCCAACCAGGTGGATAACCCAAAACACGCATGCGATAGAAGAAAAATGGCAATTCGCCTTTTCTCAAACCCAAAGCCTCACGCAATTTATCGCTTATACAACCGGGCTTAAGATGGGCAAATCTTTGTTCAATATCAACATGATAACGTTCCACTTTAAAACAGGCTCTCTTAGCATTCTTAATGCGTTTGGCATTGTGTGGCTTGGGGCAATCCCTAATGCTATGACCAGCATCGCCACAGTTGGAAACAAGAATTTGTCTTTTTGTTTTGAATACCTCCTCTTCTTCTTTTTGTTTTTTACGTGCTGCCGCCTCACCATCCAAGAGGGCATCTTTAATGGCTCGTTTATAGGAAGGTACTTTAACACTGTCAATTTTGGGCGCCGGTGCTGTATCAATAGTAAATAGCTCACTTATACCACTTAAATCCGGAGAGAGTTCTTTTTCAAAGGTTTCACTTCGAGTATCTACCTTTAAGGGGGGCGGCATTGGTATATCTTCTACTTCTTTGACCACCACTTGTTGTACCATCAACGTTATACATTCTTGATTTTCTTGTTGCGTTATCTCTATACATTTGCCGGGATTTTTAGCGCCTAATCCATCCTTTATTGTGTCTATTATAGGCTTGCCAAATTCTTCATAAAGAGCTTTATTTGGAAACTTTAACTCGCATATAGTTTCTTTTTGCATTGTATCCTTTTCATCTTCACTCACTTCACCTTCTTCCATTTCTTGGTCCAGAGCAGGTGGCGGCGGTGGTAATTCTTCATCTTCACCATTCTCACTTGGACATTCAACCTCCTGGGAATCGTCTAGGGTTATACATGTTATATTATGTTCTTCTATGATACAATCACTATCGTCCGCATTAAATTGTGACATTTTTTCGTATATTTTAAAATTTTTCATAAAATTTCTTTAAATTAAAATCAAGCTCATTATATTTTTTATTAGATTTGATTTTTACAAATGTCAAATTTTGTTGTTGTTTGTAGTTGTCTTTGTTTTTAATATGAAATATGACAGTTTTTATGATTGCAGTAATTGACAACTAGAGGTCGCCTCTGTGTAAGAGTTGCCAGACCGCAACGGTCGCCAAAAGTTACTTCTAGTTTTATCCTAGACTTCAAACAAAAAAGTGTTTGTAGCAAACACGAGATACGAAAAATACATTGTTATTTGACAAACCAGCGCATATTTAGAACATACATCACAAAGTATACAGAGGTGTCACTTTTGACATTTAAAAAAGTCTAAAATCAGCTTTTGTTTGATTTTGAAATTGTTTGGTGAGAAGAGGTATATAAAATACAGCTAAAAAAATTATTGAATTCGTTTTGTGCGAAAGAGAGGGAAATAGTTTTTTGCTCGTGACGCCTCTGTATACCCTGTGACATACATATGCATACGCTCTAGTTAACAAGATAGTTCTTATGTTCTTAATTTTAGGGACATTCATATGTATATATCTGAAAACACAAGATCATGTAACCAAACTTCAAACATAATACCAAAGGTTGTTGTAACCGTTTTATATATAAAATGTAAAACGTAACGAAATTTAAGCCTTTTTCTAAATTTTTAGATCTAATGTAATTTTCTTCTAAATAGCAAGATACTATACTCAGAACTCTCTATCTTACAGAATACAAGTTTCTCAAGAGAGCAAAAATGCTTATTCGGTGTAACCTCTGTTATATCTTCATCCTTCTTCGAGATATCTTAACTTTATAAAGCCTTTATTTACAACAAAAACTATAAGTTTGCTATTAAATAAAGGCGAGAAACGGAGTTAAACATTTGTGATTCCCTTAAAGATGGAAGACAGAATAATAAGAGGAAAAGATTTGATATAAATGACAAAGGAGATTGGACATCTAAGAGAAATATATTTGCTCCGTTACCTAAATAGTTTACTCCTCTGATAATACCAAAAAGTTCGCCTAAATCGCTCCTTGTTCATTGTGGAATCTTTTTCCTAGAAATTTTAGTCTCAGTCTTAGCGATAGTTGCATAAAATATGCTGCTTCTCATCGTCTTCATACGATCTACAAAAATCTTGGTCCTACTGCCTTGGAACCCGGCAATACATGCTACTATATCATGATCAGTTGGTAGACTTCTAGAATTTATCGCATATTAGTCTATAGTGATAGCAGATAGAGGTTTTTAAACTACCACTACAATTAAGGTCCACGTCCGAGTACTAACTGACCAAATAATCAGCGACCTGATTCACTATACATATGTAAGTGTCCTGGTAATCAACAAATATTACTGCATATAACCCATTGATGTTTATAGAGCTCTTTTGCAGCTGATTACTTAAGCTATAATATAGCATGTGAGAATTTAAAGAACTAAGATCTATATGACTATCAACATAAAATCCTTTTTCAGATCGCTTAGAAGATATGTTCGGAAGTCTAACAGACAATTTTATGTGACTGTCTATCAGATAAACTTTGTCTCCTGTCTCTAATTCCTTTTTTGGATCTATTTGTAACGACGGCACACCTCTCAGACAGTACATCAGAACCAATCCACTCGTCCCTACTAGGAAACACTGGTGTAACTCCGAAGTCTAGGGGTTGTATAGAACTAAGAAGTCTTTCAAATTTTGGACTAGAATATGTAAAAAGAGGAACCTAAAATAGCAGACATTAAACCTTTATTACAGCCAATTAATAGAACTTTCAAACGACATAGTAACCGATTTTATAAATACGGGTGACTTCTATTATAACGTCTCGAATATGACAAAAATGGTGTTATTTTAAACTAAACGTTAAAATATCTAGAAAACCTGATGTAATGGAGAAATTTTTATTAAAGATTCGGATTCAATGTATCTTTAGAAATGTATACTTTAGTCCCTAAATTAGGGACTGTATAAACTGTCCTATACTCCACAAATAAGAAAAAAAACATTACAATTTTCATTGAAATATACAATCTTTATTTTACGACTAGATCCAAAGATGTTTCAAATTAAACAATACATTAAAAAAAATATTATTACATTTATATTAATACAAACATTTGTTGCAATGTATTTATTAATACAAAATAAATCTTTGCCAAAAATAAAAAAATAATTAGTAAAACTTAAAATAATATATAAATGTATAATTAGCAAATTATATGTATATAAATATAAAAAAAAATTAACTTAAATATAAAATTTGAATTTATACATAAAAGTAAATAAAATATAGTTGTATATATAGTGTAAACATAAATGTTAAACTTATTTACATCAGACAAAATTTCGAAATACTTGTAGTAAATTGAATGTTTGAGTAAGATTTTTAAAGTTTTTAAAAAAATAAAAAAAGCTGTACAAAGTTTAGGCGTTTTTGGATTATACTTACATTTACATATATAAAGATATTATTAAATATTTTTGTTTATGTTTTTTTTTGTTTATACGTATATGCAAATATATTTATTAATTTTAGGTTTCTTTTTGCCAAATACATCAATTTTTTTTTAAATTTTTTTCTAAAACAAACATTTTTTTAGGTACCTATTTCTTTTAATATAATTCAAAATTATTATAATATTTAAATAAAAAAAAATTTTATAATACTTTTTTTTTTTGTATTTTTTTTAATAGTATTTTCTGTTAAACCATTGTTTCTGGAATATTGTAGAATTTTGTTTGTTGTTTGCAGGGATGAGTAAGCGGGAGTTTGTTAGAGTTATAGACCGTTTATATATAAGTTGCTGTTAACCATTTACTTTTTGCCCAAGGTATCACGCCATTCATTATATTTATCCATTTCCTCATGCAATTGTAACGCCTCTATGCAGGCATTGAAGAATGGTGAGCCAAAGCAATCTTGTCTATAATATTGTTGTAGTTAAGGAAAATAGAGAGAGAGAGAAAAACACAAAACAAATTATTAGTATTTCCAAGTAAAGGTAAGCTTTTTAATATCTTTTGAGGGTTTTTCAAAAAAATTTTCAAAAAGTTATAGTTTTTTCAAAAATTCTTCAGGTTTTATATTAAAAAAAATAAATGTTTTGGGGTTTTTCTAAAAAAATCAAAAAAGTTTAGCTTTTTTTTTTGTTAAAAAATGCAAAAAGCCTTTTAAAATAAAAATATTTACAAGTTTTGTTGAAATTTTTTTTTTCAATTTCAAAAAATTCGAAAATTTCAAAAATTTTTCAAATTCAAAATAATAAAAGGTTTAAAAGAACAATTACACAAAAAACCCAAAGACTAAAGAGTCCACTTTTTTAAACAAATCCCAACCTGATCTCATAAATTCTCCATCACATCAGGTTTTCGAGATAACTAAGCCTAAAGTTTGAAAGTTTTGCTACATATTCAAAAGGTTATATAACTTCTGATTAAGATATGTCAAAGAAGGGGCATGATATAAGAGAGGGAAACTTTTATTTTTGTTATAAATTTAGACATCGATATCTATTTATCTAAGTATCTGCTGATTGGCTTCCTTTAACTTAAAAACAAACAAATATGAAATACAAAGTTTTCTAATTGTATTGTAGTCCAAATCAAACATTGAATACAGAGAAGCCCTTAAAGTTGTTATCAGGGAAATTGAGATGAATCCTTTGGTATTCAAGAAAAATCTAAATTTATTAATGTCATGGTAATTTTAGTAGTTTTTGTTGTTTCCTAACGAAAGTTGTTATAGTTGTTATACTGGCCGCAAAATAAAGAGGTTGAAACACTATTAACTCAAAGAATAGTTAGATTTGACCTTCAACGGAAGATATCTCAGCCCATAGAATAGTTATCTAAAGAATTCTTTGGAAATAACAGTGATAAAAACGAAATATATCGAAAATTACATTCATAGTTTGTTTAAACTTTAGGTTAAGATATAAAAAGGAAAAACTTATAACAGATATTTACTAATATTGACTGGTGTATTGTCTACTCCGTATAATAGTTTATGGTCTAGTCCATGGGGTAGAGTTTAGTCTATTGACTAATATATTAACTTAGATTCGAGTACAGCTAAAAAGTTTTAAAACGCATATATTTTCTCAACTTTTCATAGACCAGTTTATTAAGTAATCTAAAGGCTTCTTTATGGACTAGTCTATGCATTAGTCTATGGACTGGTCTATTAAGTAGTTCGATCTATTGACTAGTGTTTTGATAAGTCTATGGACAAGTCTACTGATTCGTCTATTTTCTAGTTTGCAGTTTAGTGTATGAACAGTTCTATGAATGACTAGTCCGCCACTTTATTAACTAATTTAAAGACTACTTTATGGACTAGTCTATGCATTAGTCCATGGACTGGTATATTAACGAGTCTAAACTATTGGCTAGTGTTTCGACAAGTCTATGGACAAGTCTATTTTCTAGTAGTCTATGGACTAATCTATGAGTCATTCATAGATTAGTCCATAGACCATAGACTAGACTAGTTTATTGACTGACCATTTGACTACAATATTGAATAGTCTATAGACTAGTCTATATATTTGTCAATTTACTAGTCGGTAGATTAGTCTATGGACTATTTTATAGTCTTGTCTGTTAACTAGTCTATGAAGTAGTATAATGACAAGTCTATTGTCGAGTCTGTAAACTAGTCTGTAGATTAATCTACCATGAAAGATTAGTTCATGAACTAGTTTATTGGCTAACCTGTAGACTGCACTATGTACTAGTCCATGAGTTTGTGTATGGACTATCTATTGAATAGTCTATAGACAAGTCTAATAACTGGTCTATTGACTAGTTTATTGACTAGTCTACTGTCTGGTATACTGTCAAGTATATGGACTAATCTGTAGATATGTCTATGAAACACTATAGACTAGTCTATTGACTGTCTATTAACTGGTCTATTGACTAGTGTTTTGACAAGTCTATTGACTAGTCTACTAACTGGTATATTGTCGAGTATATGGAGTAATCTGTGGATAAGTCTGTGAACTAGTCTTTGAACGATTAGTTCATTGGCTAACCTGTAGACTACACTATGTACTAGCCTATGAGTTAGTCTATGTACTAGTCTGTTGAATAGTCTATAGACAAGTCTATTAACTGGTCTATTGACTAGTTTATTGACTAGTCAACTGACTGGTATACTGTCGAGTATATACTTATCTGTAGATAAGTCTATGAAAGACTATAGACTAGTCTATTGACTGTCTGTTAACTGGTCTATTGACTAGTGTTTTGACAAGTCTATGGAGTAATCTATGAAAGACTAGTCTAATATGGACTTGTCTATTGAATAGTCTATAGACTAGTCTATTGAATAGTCTATATATTAGTCTATTGAATAGTCTATAGACTAGTCTATTGAATAGTCTGTTGAATAGTCTATAGACAAGTCTATTAACTGGTCTATTGACTAGTTTATTGACTAGTCAACTGACTGGTATACTGTCGAGTATATATACTTATCTGTAGATAAGTCTATGAAAGACTATAGACTAGTCTATTGACTGTCTGTTAACTGGTCTATTGACTAGTGTTTTGACAAGTCTATGGAGTAATCTATGAAAGACTAGTCTAATATGGACTTGTCTATTGAATAGTCTATAGACTAGTCTATTGAATAGTCTATATATTAGTCTATTGAATAGTCTATAGACTAGTCTATTGAATAGTCTATAGACTAGTCTATTGAATAGTCTATAGATTAGTCTATTGAATAGTCTATTGAATAGTCTATTGAATAGTCTATAGACTAGTCTATTGAATAGTCTATAGACTAGCCCATTACTAACTGGTCTGTTGTCTAAAGGTGGTATATTGTCTAGTCTATAGACAAGTCTTTCGACGGGTCTTTATATTAGTCTATGGACTAGTTTCTTAACTTTTGTATGAACTATTCTATGGGCTACATTATTGACTAATCTGTGCACTAGTCTGTAGACTATGGACTAGATATAAGTGGTTTAATTCAGCTCATGTATTAATAACTCTATTCAATATTTATAAATATATTACAAAAAGTACTGTAAACTTCAGTTAACAGTTTTATTAAAAAAAAGTTTTCACTCAAAAAAATAAAGTATTGAAAACCGTTTAAAAAGAAAGAAACAAAAAAATTTCAAAAATTTAACTAATAAGTTAGATTCCTAAATAGGAAGTGTTAAAACAACAAAAAAAATCTTTCAAAAAATATTGAAAAATTAAAGGAAACCCAGTAAACAAAATGTGGGGATTTAAAAAAAAAATAATAAATAAAATAAAACGTACCGAATAAAATAAAACAAATTATATATTTTTTTCAAATATGAGTTTCATCATAATAATCCCTCTGTTTATATTCTCTAGAAGTAGTGGAGTAGTTGATGATGATGATGACGTTGATGAACAAGCAACATTGCATATGTAATATTTTTTTTTTTTTTTTTGTTAAAAAAAGAAGTTTCCACAGTCTGTTGACTTTATAATTAAAAAAAAAGCTGCCGTTGATATTATAATTCTTTTTTTTTTTGTTTTTGTTCCTCATTCACAGAGTTTTGGTAGAATATATAATGAATATAAATACATAATATAGGATTTTACAATGATTATATTTTTTTCCATTTTTTTAGGCTTTTCTTTTTATTTTTTCCACATATGTATGTATATATGTTTTTGTTTTGTATACATACTTATATAAATGTTTTTTATATAGTAATAGTAAATAAAGGAGTGTTTTTAACGTGTTCTATCACAATATTTTTCATTAGTTTTCATTTCATTTTTTTTTTTTGTTTTTGTTTGTTTGTAGTATTTTGTTTTAAATATATTTTTTGTTTTGTTGTAAATTAATACATTAATATATTTGCCAGCAAATTTTTAATTAGTAGTAGTAATAGTTAAAGTTTAAAATGTAATAATTTCATTTGTTTAAATATAATTTATATTTTATTATTTATTATTTTTTTTTTTAAATATATAAATTAAATAATTTACAATTGGATAACAGTTTTAGAAAAATATCCAAACATTTAAAATGTTTAGAGGTTTTTCTTTTGAAAAATTCCATAAAAAAAAATTGAGAGAAAATATTACAAATTAATTTAAAAAAAACTGTAAAAAATACTTTTTTTTTTGTTTTTAGCTAAAAAATAATAATTTATATATTAAACTAAAACAAAATTGGAGATTTTTTTTTAAGGCAAAACTAATTTTAATTAAAAGTAAATATTTTCTTTTTTTAAAAAATTGCTGAGCAAATTATTTAAAATTAAAAAATATATATATAACAATATTATTCAAAATTTTCTTTTAAATTAAACTTAAAAATAAATAAAATATTTTTTTTTTTAAATTACTTGCTTTAATTAGGTTGTTTTCTTTTTAAATAAATAATTAAAAAATTAATACAAATATATAAAATAAAATAAATAAGTACAAAATAAACTTCTTTTTTTTCACTTTCGTTTGATTAAAACAAAAACAACAAAAAATACTTAAGCTCAATTTAAGACAAAGTGTTTATATATATATAAATATAAAAAAAAATAATAATAATTAAAATTTAAATTAAAAAACTAAAAATAGTTATTATGTTGTAACCGGCGTCATATTGAATGAGGGGATGGGTGAACCGTTTATAACTTTAATGAAATGTTGCAATTTTGATACTTCCTCGGGGGGTATTAATAAAACTTTTAAACATTCACCAAACCACTTTGAATCAAAACAGTTTTTCCTTAAAAAAAAATAAAAAAACAAACAGAAAAATAATAAATAAATTATAAAAAATTTTAAATAAAAAAAAATAGCTCAATTAAAAAAAATAACAAAAATTTATAAAAATCAACCAACAACTTTTATATAGTTATGTTTATAATAATAATAATAATAATATATATTTCATAAATTACAATTTTTTTCTAATTACTTAAACTAAAGCGGCAAAATCTAGAGAAGATAATGGCGATCCGTTGATAACTTTAAGAAAATATTGAAGTTGTGTTACTTCTTCATCGGGTATTAATAAAACCTTAAGACAACTGCCAAAGGTTTCATGAGTAAAACATTTTTGCCTGTATATTTTTTAATTTTATACATTTTTTAATTTGTTCAAGGGAAAAAGAAATATTTAAGAAATATTAACAATAAAAATAATAACAATAAATACATTTTTAAATACAATAACAATTAAATTATTATGTAACTTATATAATTAAAGATTGAAATATTAGTTAAAGTGATTTATTATTGACTAGTCTATGTACTAGCTCTGTTTTAGTTCAGTTCAAGTTCAGTTCTTGTTGAGTACTGCTTCAGTTCTAGTTCAGTTGTAGTTCAGTTCTAGATTAGTTCTAGTTCAGTTCTAGATTAGTTCTAGTTCAGTTCTAGTTCAGTTTTAGTTCAGTTCTAGTTCAGTTCTAGTTCAGTCTAGTTCAGTTCTAGTTCAGTTCTAGTTCAGTTCTAGTTCAGTTCAGTTCTAGTTCCTAGTTCAGTTCCTAGTTCAGTTCTAGTTCAGTTCTAGTTCAGTTCTAGTTCAGTTCTAGTTCAGTTCTAGTTCAGTCCAAGTTCAGTTCTAGTTCAGTTCTAGTCAGTTCTAGTTCAGTTCTAGTTCAGTTCTAGTTCAGTTCTAGTTCAGTTCTAGTTCAGTTATAGTTCAGTTCTAGTTCAGTTCTAGTTCAGTTCTAGTTCAGTTCTAGTTCAATTCTAGTTCAGTTCTACTTCAGTTCTAGTTCAGTTAAGTTCTAGTTCAGTTCTAGTTCAGTTAAGTTCAGTTAAGTTCTAGTTCAGTTCTAGTTCAGTTCTAGTTCAGTTCTAGTTCAGTTAAGTTCTAGTTCAGTTCTAGTTCAGTTCTAGTTCAGTTCTAGTTCAGTTCTAGTTCAGTTCTAGTTCAGTTCTAGTTCAGTTCTAATTCAGTTCTAGTTCAGTTCTAGTTCAGTTCTAGTTCAGTTCTAGTTCAGTTCTAGTTCAGTTCTAGTTCAGTTCTAGTTCAGTTCTAGTTCAGTTCTAGTTCAGTTCTAGTTCAGTTCTAGTACAGTTCTAGTACAGTTCTAGTTCAGTTCTAGTTCAGTTCTAGTTCAGTTCTAGTTCAGTTCTAGTTCAGTTCTAGTTCAGTTTAGTTCAGTTCTAGTTCAGTTCTAGTTCAGTTCTAGTTCAGTTCTAGTTCAGTTCTAGTTCAGTTCTAGTTCAGTTCTAGTTCAGTTCTACTTCAGTTCTAGTTCAGTTCTAGTTCAGTTCTAGTTCAGTTCTAGTTCAGTTCTAGTTCAGTTCTAGTTCAGTTCTAGTTCAGTTCTAGTTCAGTTCTAGTTCAGTTCTAGTTCAGTTCTAGTTCAGTTCTAGTTCAGTTCTAGTTCAGTTCTAGTTCAGTTCTAGTTCAGTTCTAGTTCAGTTCTAGTTCAGTTCTAGTTCAGTTCTAGTTCAGTTCTAGTTCAGTTCTAGTTCAGTTCTAGTTCAGTTCTAGTTCAGTTCTAGTTCAGTTCTAGTTCAGTTCTAGTAGTTCATTTAGTTCAGTTCTAGTTCAGTTCTAGTTGTTCAGTTCTAGTTCACTTCTAGTTCAGTTCTTTCAGTTCTAGTACAGTTCTAGTTCAGTTCTAGTTCAGTTCTAGTTCAGTTCTAGTTCAGTTCTAGTTCAGTTCTAGTTCAGTTCTAGTTCAGTTCTAGTTCAGTTCTAGTTCAGTTCTAGTTCAGTTCTAGTTCAGTTCTAGTTCAGTTCTAGTTCAGTTCTAGTTCAGTTCTAGTTCAGTTCTAGTTCAGTTCTAGTTCAGTTCTAGTTCAGTTCTAGTTCAGTTCTAGTTCAGTTCTAGTTCAGTTCTAGTTCAGTTTAGTTCAGTTCTAGTTCAGTTCTAGTTCAGTTCTAGTTCAGTTCTAGTTCAGTTCTAGTTCAGTTCTAGTTCAGTTCTAGTTCAGTTCTAGTTCAGTTCTAGTTCAGTTCTAGTTCAGTTCTAGTTCAGTTCTAGTTCAGTTCTAGTTCAGTTCTAGTTCAATTCTAGTTCAGTTCTAGTTCAGAACTAAACTCAACTAGAACCGAACTAGTCCATGAACCAGTCTTTGGTCTAATTTATGGACTCGTCAATTATTTTCACTTAACAATTATTCAATTATTACTCAATTACTTTTACTTAACATTCAACTAAAATTAGTTATTAAATATATACATATATAAAATTTCTGATCTACATAAATTCGACATGTGGTCAAAACTATTAAATATTTATAAACTTACGAAAATAAAAATAAACAAATAATAAGAAAAAAACTAACAATTTTCAATAGCATCCCAAAAAACACTGTGTTAATTGTAGTTTAATTGGTATAAATTATTTATAAACAAAAAACTTATTTAAAATTTTAGAACAAATAGTTATTGTGTTTGAACAGGCGCGTGTTTTAGCAAATTTTCAAAATAAATCATAAAAAATAAACTAAATTATAAATGGCATGTGTTTTTTTTTTTGTTTTGTTTGGGTGAAAATTCTCACGAAATATTTGAAAAATATTTCAGAAATTTTCTATAACTAAGTAAAATTAATTTATGTTATAGATCAAGTAGAAGAAAGTGTTTTAATATTTGAAAATTATTTATAATTTTTTCTAAGTTTTTATTTATAAATTTGTGTGTCATGGTTATAAAATAAATATGTATAGTAATTTTCCATTATTTTGTGCAATAAATAATAAATAATAATTACTCAATAATATATCAATCTACAATGTTTTATTTAATACCTTGAACTACAGTATTACATTTAGTTTTTGTGTTTGTTTAAATAAAAAAATTAAAAAAAAATAGAAAAAGTATTGAGAAAAAAGAAAATTATTCCGAAAATAAATCTAAGTAACTTAAGCAGCCGGAAATGTGCCAGTTTTCTTAAATACATACGAGGGATGTTTAAAAAGTACCATATAATATAAAGAATTTTTAAAGAAACCGATCATGAGTTATATAAAACATTAACGGAAAAGTTTCAGTAAATAAAGCTTTAAATCAATAAAGAAGTTATGTGACCAAAGCTTTAAATGACGGTGGATTCATAAAATAGATTTTACTAAAAAATTAATAAAAAAATTATTTTAAATAAATTTAAAAGCCATCCTCGGAATTTTCTTTTTATTTTTCTAAGAAAATTTTTCTTAAACTTAACACTGAAAACCAGACATTTTCAATTTCCCTAAAACAAACACAAATACCAATTAAAAAGAAAAGAAAATAGTGCTAAATAATGAAAGACAAATGGACGCGATATTTAATTTTTTATAACGTATGATTAATTTAATTTTAATAGCAAAACGTGAGTATTACTAGGTCAGTGACCTACTAAATACGTAAAATTTTCGGAAAATATTCATATAAGGTAGGGGGACAGAAAACTTACTTGCACAATCGATGTATACTTGTTTCACGGAACAATTGATAACAGTCTTCACATATACGATCCAAGCGGAAGAACATGGTTTTGTTAAAGATACCCTTGCACTCTAAATCGAAGAAATTACTTCTTTTGGATAAATTATGATTATGGGGCAAAGCTGTGAATAGTGGAATCAAGACAAGAAACAGCACTACCGAGATCTTAATGTTGCGGGAACACATCTACAAAAAAAAAAAAAAGAGAGGAAATAATTTTATAAAGTTAATTAATAAAAGTTGTTAAATAAAATAAATTTGATTAAACATAATTTAATGCTTTAAAATAAAAAGCTTTTAAATGTTTTAAAAGTTTAAGTAGA